AATAATTGAAAAACTAATACAGTTAATGTTTGTTTTTTTTTTTTTTTTAGAATAAAGTATTGAAAGAAAATACACCACAAGGTCCTGATATTATTGCTCATTTTTCAGCACACTGTGAGGCTATTGTTGCTTTAAATTTTGATCAGTCTGGTCTTATGTTAGTAACAGCTGATAAAAATGGTCATAGATTTAACGTATTTAAAATACATCCTAGTATATTAGGTTCTTCATTTGCAGCTGTTCATCATTTGTATACATTGCATAGGTATATGCTTATTTAATCATATTACATTTAATTGACAAATAATAAAAAAATTATTTACATTTTAGAGGTGACACCACAGCTAAAATTCAAGATATTCAATTTTCAAATGATTCAAGATGGGTAGCTGTAAGCTCACTTAGGGGAACAACTCATATATTCCCAATTACACCTTACGGAGGACCTATTGGTTTACGTACTCATTCAACACCACATATTGTAAATAAATTATCAAGGTAAGATAAGATTTGAAAAATATTTTTTTCAACGTGTTATTTAAATGTAATTTCTGTTGGAAAAAGTTATATTTTGTCTAATTTTAAAATTAAATTTTAGATTTCATCGCAGTGCTGGTTTAGTGACTGATGGCCGAAACAGCCCTGTGATGACAGAATCATTACAGAATACTCAAATTGTGTTGCCATACTCTAATCCTTGTGTGTCACCTGTACCACATTCAATTATTGTACATTCATTGTGCCAAATTCGATCACAAAGTAATAAATTAAAACCTGAGGAAACTGGAATTACAACATGTATTAGACTATCTACTTGTTTTTCTCATGGCCGTGTGCTGGATACAACTATGATCAGAGAAATTTCTAATGTAACTTATAATCCCAAGAAAAATATTGCAGATTCTTTATATGTGATGACTAGTAATGGCATTCTTACGCAATATGATATGTATCCTATGCATTCAAATAGTAAGTTAAAATTCTGCAATATGTTACTATTCAGTTTTATGATTTGCAATAGCTTTATTTATAATTAAATTTTATTCATTTTTTTTAATTAGCAATATCCAAAGAAAAAATATTTGATGATACGATGATAGAATTAAACATTGAACCAAAAACTGAATGGAATTTGTACAAACCACCTCTTCATGCATCTACTGTTAACCCCCCTTTAAAACGTGGTAACCCATTGTTAGACCTTTACGTTAAATTTCCGGTCACAAACCTGTCAAATATTTCTGAAAAGAATTCTTTAGAAAGTATTGATGAACATTGGCTATCTCAAGTAATATATAAAAATTAAATTACTATTAGTTTTTTTTAGTTAGTATACTATAAAGATACTTTTATAGGTGGAAATAAGTACACACGCAGGCCCACATCGTCGTCTTTGGATGGGACCACAATTTGTTTTTAAAACTTGTAGTTCTTCGTTAGGGTAAGTGATTAAATATTTTATATTAATTTAAAAATTTAATATTAGATCATTTTACAGGAGATCTGAATCTGATACTCAATTGAGTGAAATTGAAAATGGACCACTATTATTAAAATCAAATCCTGTTAGTGTTCCACAAAATAATATTGACAGACAGAGCACTCCTGTATTCATTGAATGTGGTTCAAATAGTATGTAGTTAAAAATAATTAATTACCATATTTAATATTCACATACTTATGTTATTGATACATCAAAATTGCATTCAATTATTGATTATATTCATACTACGGATTTAAATTGATATTATTGACTAAAAATGGATGTTAAACCTATGACATGGAATGCATGCTCTTTTGGTAACATGTGCAACTATCCAAAAAAAGATCATTTATTGGAACTTTTTTGGATCAATTAGAACTGAATGTGACTGTCATCAAATAATTGATACTGGTGCTAAAAAATTGTTTGCTATCCCTTCTATAAACAATGCTTTTGGATTAATTCCTTTTGATAAAATTGCTATTGAATTTAAAAATTAAAATTGTGTAGTTGAAGTTTAGAGAGCATTTTAGTTTAATTTTATGATTTTGTATCATCTAATTCATTAAATTCAGCAAATCTTACAATTTTTGTGTAACTGTTTTTTTCTATATCTTCAATAAAATTAGATAGTATGGCTTGAAGATATAAGAAAATATTGTACTTCAATATTTATAAATTAGATCAGCGGTTCTCAACCTTTTTATATTCACTGCGCATTATAACTAGTTGATAGAACACTACAGTAATAAAATAATAAAAAGCAAACAAAAAAGGCATTTTTATTTTAATCATTATTTTTTATTGTTAATTGATTATATAATTAAAAATTAATATCTAATAATACTATACTCATGTATCATAGTCTTGGTATACCTACAGCCAGTTCGCAGCACACAAGTGTGCCGCAGAACACCAGTTGAGAAACACTGCCTTTGATACTTTGTTTCCCGTGTACCCTCATTGAGACCATTAGTTTTGTGTGTTTTTATAATCTATTTGTAAATGACTTTGTTGCTATAATTTTATGATTAACATTGTTTGTGTTACATATGAATCATTTAAAATTGGATTGTAATTACTGTAAGATAATTAACAGTTAAAAGTATTAGTATACTAATGCGATAACACTATGGCAAACAGCATTTTACTAATACCATGGCATTGAGCCACAAGTTTTTAAATTTTTGAATTTAATTCAATTAAAACTTGCTTAAAAATTTCTATTTTTATTTAAAAATTAAGCCTATAACATATGAGATATATGTTATGATATTTTTATTGAATTAATTTACTTGTTACCTAACTTATTGCATGTAAAGAAGCACTGTAAGATGGTAAACTGTTTTTACAAGACTTGTTTAGTTACAAATCAAAGATATATGAACTAGATTATTAAAAACTTATTTGATTAGATTTATAAAGTTTTTAATGATGTTTTAGAAATAAAAGTTTTAATACATTTTTGAATTCTTCAATTTGTTAGTTCATATTATAATTTATTGATTGCAGGTAGCTTTGATTATTCACCAAAGTTTTTAGACCTTAATCAAGGTGATTCATCTGATGTGTCATCTGACCAAGGTGAAATTAAAATATTGGAAGATTTGGCAGAAGCCATGAATGAAAACCTTCAAATTAATAAATCAGGTAATTGTGTTAAAAGTTATATATTTATTACTTTTATGGTGTTTATTGAATATGATATATACTTCAAAATTGTTTTTGGTGACATTTAACTGCAATATTTTAAATTGATTTATTTATACAACTTTTTATGAACATTATAATTGGATTAAAAGGATTCATCATTCTTCAAAATAATCAAAATAAGACTTTCAAAGAAAGAAAATCATGGTGTATATAGTTAATCCAAAACTAATTTCACTATTTCAAATGTAAATTTAAAGTATTTTTATAATTATGTATTATAATGTATGCTTTAATTTTTAAATATATTTTTATTCAATAAACATTAATTGTATTGTTTAAATTAAGTCAATATTTTATGCTGTAGTAAATTATTTTTTAATTTTTCAGAACACTTAGAACCAGAAGTAATTGATGAGAGTGATCAAATTGTAACTGAAATAATTTCTTTAAAAAAATGTAAAAAAGCAAAAAAGAAAAAAAACAAGTAATAGCTACTCATTTTATTTTTATTAATTTAAATATTACGTTTTGAATTTAATCAAGTTACCAATGTTTAAGTTTAAAACATTTCATTTTTAAATGAGAACTATATTTTGTGTCCTTTTATTCTAATAGAGTATGTCAGTCATTACTATTCATTGTACATAGTATAATAATAATAATTATCATAAGGTTTTCATCATACTTATTATTTTAAGTTTACTTAATCTCTTATTTTATTTATAATAAACTGTGTCTATCTTATGTGTACTGAATTGTCAAGTATTTTGATCAAAAATATATTTAATAAAAATGATATTTTATAATTTATTTAAAATAAGTCAATTAAAACATTTAAATTAAATTTCATTGATTGATTAATACTAGTATAATTTATTAATATTACACATTTTACATGCCAATATAATGTCATTCTCCTAGCAAGTTGTAATAGAAGCATTGTCATATTGGAATTTAAAGCAAGAGAAGTACTGCAGAACAACATTTATTTTTATTATAAGTTAAGTTTACAGTGGTTTTATTTTAACCTATGGTACAGTAGAATGTCATATAAATAGGTAACTTATTATTTTATTCTGTGTTGCCTGTTACATAATATTTTTTTGGGATTGTTTTAATAAGAATACATTTGAACATGGAAGAGTATTAATTTCAGTTATCTTAATAATAAAATAAAATAAAATATACAAATTTTATGATTTTAAATTAAATCAAGTGTTACAAATAACAATATTATACCTAGTAAAACTAATCCTTGTGCAAAATGATCACTTTTTACGTATTTACTCTATGTCTTCTGTAGTTGTAATTCTTGCAGATATTGTCATTCAATATTTAAATGATTATATCATTTGTAGTCAAATACTAAATATGATTGGAAACTGTTTTACAAATATATTGATTATAGGCTGAAATAAAAATAAAAATGTTATAGTCGAAAGTGGATAATTATATTTATAGATACCAGATAATTTAATATAGTACTATGATGACTTAGATTAATAATATATTTTCATTATATTAATTTATATCATGTTATTACTTATATTTTTATCAAATTAAATGTACATAAAATTAATAAATATAACCAAGTAAGTTATAAGATTGTCCTAGTTAAATAGTTCATGACACCTTTATATGACAATCTATTTTATTGTAAAAACTATTATGTATCTATTTTATTGCCATTCACTATTAACACATATTACTGATAATTCTGGTTAACATAATTACTTACTATATTTTATGTATCTTGGGTTATTTATTTTTATAGTTTTAAATGTTTCATTTTTAGTTTATTCCTTTGAAATTTGAAAACTGAACGTGTACATCTTTGTTTTTTTTTTATGTTCAAGAGTGTAACTTTCACACCTTTAATACTGTAATATAAAAACAATTGCATTATTACCATGATAGTTAGTAAAATTTAATGATTAAAGTAAGTATTATAAATAGTATTCATGTATTTTTTATTTTGTCGTATTTCTTCATAATTAAAAAATACTACTGCTTTTGGTTCTTAATATATAAATGCCTACAATTCATAATAAACCATATTTGTGTTTAGAACCTGTGTATGTTCTTACCTACTGTATGGTTTATTATATACATTCAATCTATATTTTATAAGATAATATTGTTGTTAAATATTTTATTGTAAATTAATGTAGGTATCTAAATCATTTTCTAATTATAGGAATTTTGAATGATCAGTTTTAAGAAAATGTTATAGCTAGTTTGAAGATTAGATATTACATAAAAGTTATGTCATGTGGATATTTAGTTGTACCTAAACGATAATAAGGATGTGTCTAACTTCTACACATATATGGATATGTTATGCTAATAATTTTGATTCTGTGTGTTAAACTTATTTGTATAACTGTCTGATCTTAAAATCATATTTAGAGAAGATAATATAAATACTTCAATGTTCAAATTTGTAAAAGAAAGTCATTTTTTTACAAAATTATGAAAAATTCATATTTATTTTTTAAAATATTATCACTTTATTTGTATTTGTCTTAGATGGACATTAAATGTATTAATATAAACTATGAAATAATATATAATTTAGTCATGACTTATAGAATTCTTCAAAAGATTATTTATTTTTTGTATAATATATTATAATATATAGTGGTATGGTGCGTACAAATTTAGCATACATAAATAAAATGTATTATATAAATATATTATTAGTTCTGATCAATTAAAAATTTGATATTAACTATTAATCATATTTACGGGATTATGAGTTAGGGATATAAAAGTAGCCTTTTTATTTATTATTTAAAATAAACTATTTTCACATATGTTATCTTTATCTTATATACATACAACATATGCTATTACTGAACTTGCATTCAGCAGAACCTATTAAGTGTCATTAGATTAAATATTAGAGTAAATTGATTTATTATCAAATTTAAAGACAAGAACATAAATTGTGCTTAAACATTGGCTTTTTTCAATATTTTAATTTTTAAGTAAAATTTAAGTATTATAAATATAAGTTAAAAATACTAATTTTTGGTCTAAAAATTAAAACATAAAAAAAAAAAAAAATCAATGGATAAGCATAGATAATGTTCTTATTTTTAATTTTTAATTTAAATCAGTTTACTCCAACACTTAAGTTAATGACACACAATAGGTTCTACTGAACGCTAATTTGCTATGTTGTATGTTTTTAAGACGGAGATAACTCATGTAGAAGTAACATTGTCTTGTAGAGATTTGATACAGATCATTTTTAAGAAGTTAACTATAGGAAATTTTCTTATTTTTCTAAATGAGTATGGATTATGCAAATGTATGTGTAGTAATTGATCATTAGTATGAGTGACAATATGTAAAATAAACAGTGGAGCGCTTCCACGCATGCGAGGACTTGTTATCAATGTATTACACAACTAAAATACAATTATTTTGTTTTTTTTTTTTTTAGTCAAAAGTATCAACTTTTTGCCAATTGTATTAACTAACCTATTTATTCGATAAACGTTTAAAAACATGTCTAAATTTGCAATGAAAATTACTTTAAAAAAACTTTCTTACATTTTTAAATAATTTTTTTTCACTTAATATTATAAACATTTTAAAACTCTTAATATTCAAAACGTAGAAATGTAATTTTGAAGAATTTATAAGTTCAGATTTGAAAAGCGAAAAATTCGTTTCCAAATAAACTTCATAACGAATTCAAGTAGGTTCTCAGATGTTTTATCCGATGAATAGGATAGTCAGTACATTTTACATGAGATAGGTCTATTTTTAAAGAAATTCCTTATGATTACAATAAGTGTGTTCAAAACGATACGAGTTAAAAAAAAAAAAAATAAATATTACTCACGAATCAAATCCCCGGATTTCTACTTTTCTTAACTTCGTAGCAATGAAAAGCTTGTATAAATTTACAACAAATGAGTAATAAACATTACCCTTGTACTTGCTCAACGATTGGTCAACTTCGTTCAACTAAGAAATATATAAAACACAACACATAAATATTTAGCATCCTAATGATTATATCACATAGGTTTCGTTTTTGAATTATTAAAGTTAACAATATGAACTTGTTAAATGTATTCAGTTGATAATATTTTTTAAAAGACATTAGAAAAAATGCACATTAATGTAGTACCAAACCTATTAACACTTAATTTATAAATTTATTTTGGTTATACAAGTTAAATATAAATAATTTGTAAATTTTACTACCGATTAGTTTAAATTTTAAATCTTGTAAATTGTCATTTCACAACAAAAATAACAACAAAAAAAAAAAAAAATAAATAAATATGTTGCATGACTCGATACAACTAACTGTTGACTTATACAATATAACAATTAACTGTAAGGTCTATTGCCAATACATACTATATAATACCAACAGTTCTCTGTCACACATAGGACCACAACACATTACAAACTACCGAACTCCGTATGATTACAATACAGCCACCTACCATTATACGTCTATACAACTCAGAATACAACTTTGTTAATAGTAATTGTTATTAATATTTAGTAGAAATTAAAATAATGAATAGCTGTATTATTGAGTCCTGATTATTTAAATAAATTTTAGACCCTTATATATCAATCCTCTGCTATAATAATTATATCGTATGTTCATAAGGTACTCTCCTTGGATATATTATATTTGATTAGTCATTCCCCCTTGACTACGATACAATTATAAAATATAGATATGGAGTTTATGAGATCTAAAAAAGTATTGGTTTTGAAATTTTTTTTTCGGTTCACAAAATAATTAAACGTGGGTTACGCCGGTTATGACATGACTAGGTACATAAAGTTTCAATCGGCGCAACTAAAAACAAAAATCTGAAATGCAGAACAATTTGTAAATCACTCATACAGTCATACACAGTCTACTACAGTATTTATCCCAAAATATATTAAGTTTTTGTTTCAGGGATGTTATGATAATAATTTGAAACTTGGGGTACTTATATATATATATATATTAATACCTATACTCAAGTATCCCTAATAGTTGTGTTCCCTTTGCAATAGTGCATTACCACTAGACGGAGTTTGATAACTATAGAATATTACTTTCAAAATTTTCTCCATCGACTTTGTCGTCGTCACTAGCATCGAATCCATTTTGTATATATGCAAACACAATGTTTCTATTTCAGCTTTCATCGCTGCTAAATTGTTTGTCAAGATTCGTAATTTTCGGTTTTTTCTTTTTAACGTCTGTTTTAGCTGTGTCATCGTTGTATTTATTCTGCTGGCCCTGTACGCAATACGCTGGTTCCTCTCATTTTTCGTAGATAAATCTTGTACTTGTAAGGTAAGACCTAATTTTTTAGCTTTTATTGCATCCATTATCTAGAAATGCGTAAAAATATAAACCCCAATCAATGCTCACATTAGTTTTTTTTTCATACAAAACTATATGAGTACAGTCTAGAATCTAAATCTTTATGGTAAAAAATAATATAATAATTAATATTGTAAAAACATCCACCTGTTTTTGAGCTATGATTATTTTATTTAGACGGCTATTTTCTTTCATATACATTTTATTTTCGATTTTCAAATCTAAGTTATCTGATTTCAGCAACGTATATTTCTTATCCATTTTGAACCAACTATCCGAACATTTATTTAACTAAAATAATATAATTTTTTAATAATTGACAAATCAACCATGTATATCTACAAAAAATAAATTTAGAAGAAAGGACTTAAAATTAAAATAAATTATGATTACTTAATAATTATTAATTGTATAAGGATATGTAGAAAAAAATATATTTAAAAACATTTTATGAAGGGGGTAAATTCCTAAATCCTTGTATACCTACGAATTATTCGTAAACATAGGTATGACTTTTGTGATTATACTTACTTCAGCTTTAATATTAACATTTTCTTGTAAAGTTCTTTGAAAAGTTGAAGACATTAACTTTTGTAGGTTATTCTGAATTGTTGTAGATAGTTGCAAAAGCTTAGCTTCATTTTGACGTTTCATACTGTAAATTTAATAATAGTTACTTTGGTAAATACACCGTGTTCGTTTAAATGTGTACAAAATCAATGTTTTAAAAAGCTTATACATTTTTTACTTACTGTTCTTTAGCTATAATAAGTTTTTTCTCAGTTTCATAAAGTAAATTATTGTTTTCTCCTTTTAGTTTTGATAGTTCTTCCTCTTGTTTCAAAAACTTATCAGTTAATTGAGATCTTTGTTTTTTAAACTCATTCAATGAATTTACTTTACTGTCTGCATGTATTCATAGTTTGATAATAACAATTATTTTATAAATTTGATTTGTTGATATTAATAATTGTACAGACTACAGATAAAAACAAGCTTTTTTTTTTTTTATTTTTTTTTTTAATAAAATTATATATAGTTTCCTTTTTTTGTTTAAAAGAGCCGAAGAGCCAATTTTTACTTTTTTTTTTATATAATATAATTCTCGTTGTTCTGAAATTATATTTGAATAAAAAAAATTTACATTATTAATATTCACTAATATCGCTAAGTAGATGACCAGGGCCGACTTTAAAATAAAATGTGTACATAGGAAAAATCTAAATTTGCCTCCTTTTCGTTTGTGTCTTTCTATTTACTCCTTCATCATTCGAACATATTTAATATCTACTTTGGGCTTAAGCCATAACATCCTTATTTTGGAAATCATACACTTTTAAATTAAAGTACTATTTTTTATTAAGTTAGATGTTGAAACATGCGTTTATATATCCAAATTGGCCAGTACATTAACATATACGTCAGCACTGTCGTTTCTAAATTTTCTGAAGAAATTGTACTTCTGGATAACTGAGTGTGTTAGCGCTGTTTGACATTTCAGATGAAATTTCAATTTTCTTTTTTTCGAAATTATAAGAAAAAAATTGTATGTTAGTAAGAAAAGTCATTGTTAACAATTAACAAACGTTAGAATATTTAAATTTTTGATTAATTATTTTTTTAATTTTATTAATGAATTAAATTAAATAAAACAATACTTTAAAGAATAAAAAATGTTTAGTTTTTTCAACTTAATAGACCTATTTTTGAAAATTATAATAAACAAAACAATGGCAGTTGATGTATAGGTACTTATGTGCGAAAATGTCTATGATTTGGCTCTAGCCACCAATATAATATATATTAATAATTTTTATTGAATATTATTCATTTAGTTTAAAGTTACAATTTTTATTAGCATTAAAAATAATAATGTTTGTAAAAAAATAGAGTTGTTTGAAAAATTTAAGATTAATTAAATTTCGTTTAACCATCATAATTTAACCTAAAGTTTGATATTATAAACATAACTTACTTAATTCTTTTTTATTTTTATACTGCAAAAAATTAATATTTGTTTACTGTTCAAAATTATAAGATTGTAAAAATTTAATAATAAACTTTCAATCATTAAAAAAAAAAAAATTTAACCAGTTAATAGATAGGTACTATACTATATGCTAATATAGTGTAATAATTATTATCAAAATTATTAATCAAATAATTTATTAATACATTAATAATAAAATACAATTATATAAAAATATAACTCTCTTTAAAATAGGTACAGCCCTGTTTACATCAAGAAAATACGTCTCTATACTTTTGTGTTGCCTGTGTCTTCCGTAGACTCTGTAGATTTAAATATTTACTAGTGAATGCATACAAATAGTATAAATTTAATCAATGTGTTAACATTTACCAATGATTTTAGTGTACGACGACAGTCACCGGTTACCAATTGCGGATAATCACAGTAACATACACATTTAATGATAAATAATTGGCTATATGAAATATTATTAACTATAAAGAATAAAAGAAACTTTTATTGATTTACCTTAACGTCATGTTAAACATATTACAATAAGCTTATTATGTATTAATTATAGTACCTATTTACCTACCTACATTAGCATTACATTAATTCACAAATATTTTTTTATCTTTTATGATAAAAGGGAAGGCACCTAACAATTTCAAACAAATCTTATGACAAAAAAATTGATTATAAATCGTTATTATTTTTTTTTCTTTTTTTTTTTGATTTGGATACTTATTTAAAAAATGTACAAACTTAACAATCCAATTTCTGCTTTCAATTGTCCAAAAACTGTTTCAAATTGTCCATTCTTCTTCATTATAATGTCTTCATAGTTTATTTTTTGGTGTTCAATAGTCTATAAAAATAATAATAATTTCTATATTAGGTATAATAAATTCAAATAGAAATGTAACCAATAGTTTTTTTGTAGTCGTATTAGACATTTTTTATTTCAAGAGGACGTTTTACTCAAATTTGTAGTCTTCGTCTAATATGAAAAATTTACGTTTAGTAGCCATCATATTGTTAGTTACTATATTAAATAGTTAATATATTAAAAACATTAAGGCAATAAGTTACAACCTTGTCAGTTTTTTTGATTATTTAATTTTGAAGTTGTCATGAAAATGTTTAAATTTTAATATTTGTCACACAGTATGTAAAGTTGGTAAGAATTTATTGAATTTGATATCATTACTTTCAAAAGTTGAGTTAGTTTGTTAGAAAAAAAATATAAAGTCAAAAACTACCTACCTATTTATTTTGTTAATATTATATTGATAATAAAAAAAATAATTAAATTAAAATCAATTCAATTTAAATTAAAATTTCTAGTAATTTAAATCGATACCTACTTTTTTTTTTTTTTTGATCAATTACATGTTGATTAATTAAAATCATTAATTAATAATTATTATTTTATCTAAAATAGAATCATGATATAAATATTTTTTTTATTAAAATATTGTTAATAATTTTATTTTTCTGTGCGTATCATATTGATTATGTTATAATAGATAGGTAAGCGATAAATTTGTATACATATTATTATACATACTGTTTTTAAGGTCGAAACAGTATTTTCTAAATCAATAATCTCGTTATTTTTGATTTCAACTTGTCTCGATAAATATGCTATGATGTCACATTGCCCCTCTTTCAACGAATTAGCTTTTTCTCTTTCCAAATCATTATTTCTCTCCAATTCGGCACACCTATTCGTTACTCTATAGAATACAACATAGTTTTTTTTACAAACAATCAAAACAAAATCATATGAATTAAATATTATAGGTAATAGAAATTATTTATAAAGTCTGGATTTATGATGTCAAAAACTTAAAATGTGGCGTAATTATAAAAGTATAATAATCTTAAATTTTTAAAATATCAAAAAATAGCAGACATTCACAATAAATGGAAAGTATGGCCAGTATGGGCAATAAATTATAATTACATTCTGTAACGAGTAAATTTGAAAATGGTAAGTTTTTCTTTTTTGTCAAAATGTCCTAAATACAATACTATGCAAACAGTTATTTTAGTTTTAACAAAACGAATTATCCACATTTAAGACTTTAGTAAGTATAAGCATAGATTAAATATACTAGTGTATTTAATCTATGGTATAAATAAGAGTAATTATTATTTATTAATATCTTTTATCGATTTAAAATTTATAAATATATTATTTAGACATACAAAAAAATTGTTTTTAAATTTAAAAAACCAAATACAAATATTTATTATTTACCCGACCGTGAACCGTTTGTTATATTTTGTATATTAAAATAATAATCAATTAATATTATACAAGTGATTCATTTATCTAATAAAACTCATTATTTCAAAATCTATTATATTTTAGAAAATATTTTTTTTTTTTACATAATTTTCAATTTTAATAAAACAACATTTTTATAAGTTTTTTTTTTAATTTTTCGAATAGCAACATGTGTTTTTATTTAATATTCTGAAACAGAATATTTTTCACAGTATTTCAGTATTTCGATACATAAAAATCGAAATTCGGATGAGTACCTAATTTATAAGTTATAAGAATTTAAAGTTTGGGCGAGTAAAATTGAATGGTTCGAGGAAATCTCGCAAAATATTTACCTACTACTTACTAACTCCACTCATTAAAAACTTAAAATATTTATAACTCATAGGCTAGTTATCCGTATTATAATTTTTATGTATGAAAATTCCCTGAAAAACATTCCATTTCAGTAAATTAAATTAAAAATAAATGTTGCCATTCGAAAATATAAAAAATTGTAAAACATTAAAATGATAAAAAAATATGTTGTTTTATTTCGCCTGGAAATTATATGAAAAAAATATTTTCTAAAACGTTAATAAATTTTTAAACAATGAGTGTTTGATAAATGAATCACTCTGTATATAATATAGGTAACAATAGAAAATCCTTAATATTAAGCGCAAAGTTTTTAGTAGATATTACTAAAAACATTAAAGAATGAATACTGTTTATGAAGAACCTTGTTCTATATTTTCATTTTTTAGGTATGCAAATTAAAAGTTTTCCAAATTTCTAACTATAGAATAATTTGCAAATTTTCATGATTTTGCTTTCAAACTTTTATAAAAATTAATTGTTTTATGTGTTTTCCATATTTTTAAGTTGCTAAAAAAGCAATTTATTTGGGATCTTGTATTAAATTGTCAAGCTCTTTTACTGAACTATAAAATGATTAACACTAAAAAATTAGAATATTTCATTAATAGCTTAAAATTAATCTATATATTTTGAAAATTGTATTGAGTATAGACAATAATAATTTAAGGTAGGTACATTGAATTGTCTTAAATTTCTAGGAAAATATTCTTTGAATTATGTTAAAACAATTAAAACTGTTTGATAATATTCAATATTTCGTTGAAATTTAAACTTCAGACAGCTATTAAAATTTATAGATTAAGTTACACTTATTTTTCTTTATAACACTATTAATAAAAATTTGGAACCTTGTATTAGATTTTAAAACTTTAAGTATGAATATTGTATACATTTTTAATTACAAATTAATTTGAAAAATTTCAAAACTGTAGAAAGTGCTTATAAAAAATTATAATAGATATCCGTTGAACTTTTGTTTCGTTTTTTCTTTTATTGTTTATATTGTATATACAGTATACATAGTGTAGTAATTTTCATTAAATATATATAAAACCATATTCCTTACCATTTATAAGAAATTAATATTTGTAATTTGTTAATTGTAGCAATTTAAAAAATAAAATAAAGTATGTTACAATGTACGAGTAAATTATGAAAAATATGAATTTAAATTTAAATTTTATAGTAATTTGAGTGAAGTGATATAACTTGTATATGAATCCTAGTTCTATTTAAAAATGTCATCATATTAGAATATATCTATATTTGAATAGCATCTGGATATAGTATACTTTTTTCACACAAACATTTAAATTGTTGTAAATGTTTCAATGCACATTCCTATTCCAATAATTCAAAAAATATAACAATTTATTAAATAAATAATAAATCGATCAAATTGTATATGTATATATTTATATATTTAAGAGTATTATTTTTATCCTGCAGAGGTTTAGTCATTTATATTACTATAATAAATGCTATAATATTATATTTACAATTATTTATTATAAAATATAGGTTGATATGCGATGTTGTCTGATGCAAAAAATAGTTCAACATAATAATTTTTAGTATAAATAGAGACTGAGCACCACTTCCGTTCAGAATCGTTATTAGTATACAATTATTTTCATTGAGTTCATATACTTTACACATGTATTACAGTGACAAATTTAATGACATAATAATTTATTTTGGAAGGAAGGATTAGTATAAATTATACTATATGTTTAGTAATAGTGTATAATATCAGTCATGTATAGATTAAAGGCTTAAATAAAAATAAATAATAACACTACAACTGGTCAAACCGTATTTTAATAATACCTTGTGAGCTTTTCAGTGAGATCGGCTATTTGTATATTGTACATGGTTCTATCCACTTCTTGCAACGCATCTTTTTCTTCTTTGACATTTTTCTTCTTGTGACCTCTTTTATTTTTTTTCTTCTTTGTAGGTGAATTTTGCATGTTTAATTTTCAATTGTGACAGCAGACCTCTGTGAGTAACCTAGTGTTATAATGGGTAGATAGATTGTTTGTTAGAAACGTCCTGCTAAACTGTGCAATGGAATGCTCCGCAGGGTCTACATGCGTCGGTATATCGATCTAACTCCTAGTTAGTATGTCAGGCCATTAATTTAGATATTCAAATACTCAAGTATAAATAACCAAGGGCGTCTGCAAAAATAAAAAGTATAGGACTATACCAATAATAACATTTAAGTCATGCAAGTAGATAATAAAATAATTAATATTTAATATTAACTAAAATTGCGAGGGGACTATGCCACCTCGGCTTCCACCTGCGGGTGCTCTTGTAAATAACATCAAAGACGTGTAAATAAATTAGAATTGATAAACATATTATCAAAAGTAGATAAATTAATTAATAAAAACAGTTAATTCGAGTTAATGATGTTTATAAAATCAGAATAAACAAAATAAACTTATTAGCTCAAAAAGTTAAAATAAATAAGGAAAAAAAATATTAAGTTAAAAGAAGATTGATTTTTTTTTTTAAATAATTATCTGGTTCACATAGTAAACTTTGAAATTGTTGTGTAAACAATATTATAAGTTAGTGGCTACTAATTAATATTTATTTACTTATTATAATTTAAAACCGCAGTCTACAAAAGAACCGAAATATTTGAAAATATTATCACGTATATAAAATACAAACAAAACATTTAGTAAAATTTCAAGAACCTACGGTTATTTATTTTTGAGTAACAGTAAAATAAAAAAGATGAAATCGAGATTGTCAATTAAAAATTCTCGTTTTTCTTATTTTTTTTTTTTAACTAGTTATTTTGAAAAATACTGAGAACATCTTACTTTTAACCTCTCTCCCTAAAATACTAATTAGAATCAATTAAAAGGTTTAAATAAATTTTTTTATAAATAATTCATTCTAAAATATAAAAATATAATTGCTTGTACATTTTTTTTTTTTATAGACACAATTGAAGTTTAAATTAGGAGAAAATTATGTATTTAAACGACAAATAACGATATTATTTATTTTGTTAAAATTATTTAAAAACATTATTCATGGAAATTTGGCATTTTTACATAAATTATGAATTTTATCACAGACAATGACTTTATTAAAATATGTAGATTCATTTTAAAATATTAGTGATATTACCTACCTATTTATAGTTTATGACATGAACTAATCGGTAATCTACAGTGTTTTACGGTAAGGTGATTTTAACTTAAAAACTAGTAACAATAATATAATATTGTATAAATAATAAATATGCAGGGCCGTATTAACTATAAGGCACTGTACCTAGAGCTTATGATAGCTAAATCTAAAAAAAAAAACATTGTAAAAACATAAGATCTTTCGCTTTATTTAAAATCTAAAAACAGTCAATTGATGTAAAAATTATACCTAATCAAATTGTTATTTACATGAGCGTTATATTTTTGGACAACGTACTGCATAATATTTTGTCATGCGATAAGGAAATTATTATTATTGAAGATACTCTAATCTAATAATCGTAACAAATTAAACATTTATAAATAATTAGTTATTACGAGTATCTAAATAATAATTGATATAGTACATAATATGCAAAGTTAAAAAAAAATATAAAAAAAATAGCATTCAAAAGTGCCTATTTTATGAAATTCAATTTTTTCAGAGCCAAGAGCCTACTGATGGCTTAATTCAGCCCTGTAAATATAATTAAAATTATTTTGCGTAGATACAATAATAAGTCGTTGACCATTGACTCGATACACGTCCAGATAGTAATTCGAAAATACTTAAATTGTAGACATAGGTACCTATGTTTTTCTTAAAAATATTTTATCTGAAAAAAATTTAATTATATGTTTATAAAAATATTTTGTAGTAAAACATTTTAATAACATGTTTGTAGTATGAAAAAAATATACTTAAAAAGGTAGGCAAGTACCACTCTTGCATATGACTCTACTGGACATAAGGTATCAAGTAGGCCAGTAGGCCTGCACTATTATACATCTATTACATCTGAATTCAACATAGAAAATTTATAAGAATAAAATTCATGTAAAGGTTCCCACTTGTGATGTTTTTAAATTATAACAAAATAATTAATATTAATATTTGTTGTTCAATTAAGTTATTTCGTCTAAATTTTAACTTTAAATGTTTATAAAAATAATTGTTTTTATATATTTTTGATTTTATGGTTTTAGTGTAAACTATTATGTGAAATCTTCAATCTTGTATTAATTTTTTTTAAATAAGTTATTAAACGAAAGTTTTTATGAATTTCTAATTACCAAATAGTTTGCTATTTTTTGTGATTTTGACAAATTTTGTAAAAGCTTAAATTTTAAATGTACATATATTAAAAAAATTATGCTTATGTATTTTTATTATTTTTATAAAGCTACAAAAATAATTTATGCGGGATTTGAATTAAATTTTCAATAATTTTGTTTAGTGAATAATTTTTTATCGACAGTAAAAATAAAAAACTAAAAATTTAAAATTTGTCATTCCGATTAATAGTTTTTTTGTCATATAATAAGAATGATAATATAAACATAATATGTTATATCATATTATGGTGAAATAATTACTGTTTTTTTTTTTTAAATACTGCAAAATTAAAAAATTGTTTAAGAAAAAATTATTATTTTACGGGTGAATTGTCTAAAGTATCGTAAAAATTTGAACTTCAAATGATTTTTAAGTGATTTGGTGCTACAATATAATTTTTTTTGCTTGTACAGGTATAGAAATATTTATAAAAAACAATGTTAAATTAAATTTTAAAGTTTCAGGTATTAACAAAAATTTTTCTATGAATTTCTAACTACAAAATAATTTGTTAATTTTGGAGATTTTAACGAATTTTCCTGAATTTCATTCAATTGTATATATACACCACCACACCAAGGCAAAGGAATAACTTTATTTATTCTTATTTTAATTTTATTTTTTTAAAACTTTCAAAATCAAGATACGTAAGTGTAGGTAAAGTGTAGGTGGGTAGCTCTTTCTTTTCTTCATATCGACACCCACGGTTGTCCTCACTTACTAATTTCTTTCGCCTTAAAAACTATTATACTTACAAAAACATTTTCTTTCTTTTCACAATTAATATTGCATACATTTTTATTCTTAAAAGCTAATTTTGACATACTCATTTAATTATCTTTTTATTATCTTTTTTTTTTTTTTTTTTTGAAAAAAAAAACAGTATATATATATATGTATTTAATTGTTTGTACAATATACTGTATATTTTTAATAATTTATAATATTTTTGAAAAAATAACTTTAGTACAAAATTTCTTAAATACCTATTATTGTTAATAAAATTTTATTTATATTTTATGTATTGTAATTAATAGTCATTCTTATGTATACATAAGTAATTGTATTCTATTAAAAAATAACAAAAATAAACATTATTATGGGTAGTAGAAATATTTACATCAAGTGCTGTTAGTAATAGCTACATTTATTATTATAAAAATACAAATTTGAAAACTGGTAGAGTAGGTACTAAAATTAGAATATTTTTAAATATTTTGGTAAAAATTATTTTTAATTAGAAATGAGTATGTTAAATAAGTACCTAGCCTTGATTTTAAAATAGTAATACAATATTAGAATTTTCCTGTTAATACTTACTCTAAAGACCTCAACTCATTATAAGTTTATTGTCTTTAAAAAGGATCGCAATTACCTTGGGATTATAATAAGTTCTTTAATCTCCGAATTTGTTAAAAGTTCATTTCCCCCTAATATTATTTTTTTTCAAGTTAACTTTAAACTTTAAAGTAGAAACCTTCTTGACTTCTTGTTCACGAGATATTTTTTTCGTTGCACTTATTGATAACAGGTATTTTATTATAAATTAAGTATTATAATTAATTATTTTATTACTTTTCTTTATTAGTTTTGGTTTTTTTTTTTTTTTTTACTGTGAAATATTTTAAATTAGGTAGTATAAAAATTATTGTATCATTGGATACCATTTTCGTTAAATAATAAAATTAAAATAATATTGAGTTATTTTTTCAAAAAATATTTTGTCAAGTCACCATTTTACTGAATATCAGCTGTATACAATAAACTTACCAATGTAAAATGTATAAATAAATTAATTTTTAATGAACTGTAGGTATATTTAATTTATTTTTTAAATATATTTATTATTTGTTTTAGATTTGGCTATAGTGATAATTCCAAACAATACTGTTTACATTTCGTTGATGTATTTCAAATTTAATGCTTGGAGATTATTTTTACTTTTGACTTCGTTACCTATAGGTACTAGACTTACCGCTTATTTTTTTATTTTTTATTTCATATATACAATAATTTTCATAGAAATAAAGCTATTTTTATATCAAAAATCGATGTAAAATACTAATTTAGCCTAAAAGAACATAAATCTTATTTTTACGATAAATGAAATTATCCTGTTTTCGCTTAGCACGGCAGTATACGAATACTTAAGTATTTATATATTTAATTGAACCTTCAAAATCTATACAAGGACGTAACTGTTACAAGCTATCATGATTTATTTCAATTATATATAAACTGTAGTCCGTGGGCCAAAATACTTCCTTGGGGAGGTCATACATAACTCCAATATCACGACTTAATACATCATTTACATTCGTAATTTTTTTTCCTCTTTAGTAACTCATAAGCCACACTAAACAAATGCCCATCATACTAAAACTAATAAAAGTTTTACATAACAAATTGTGATCAACAGTACCAAAAGCTTTTGCTAAATATGAAAAATTACTTAATGCTTTCTCTCTTTTGTCAAGTACTTTTGTAGGTACTTCTGTCAGGCTTATAACCATATTGATTTGTTCATAAAAGGTTATTGTTTTCTAGATAATTCAATAAACGCTATTTGATAATTATTTTTAATAAAATTATTGAAAAATTATTCTACAACTGGTCTATAATTATTTGGGTTTTATTTAAGTTATATATTAGCTAATATTAGTTTGTTAAATTAAAAATTTGAGTTAAATAATTTAATACATATAATGCTATGTTTTTTGATATTTTATCAAATCCAGAGGTAATATCTTCTTTAAAATTATTTATTATATTAATTATATTTTTTATCAAAAACAAAATTGGTGTATAATCTATTGAATATTTTGAAGGAGTTTATCAATATTTAAAATTAAAACTCTTATAAAATAATAAACGTGGTTTAAATTTTTTTTTTTTTGTTATTCTTGTAATGAAAACATTTAAAAAACTTTAAACAAAATTTACTTTGTACTTTAAGTATAAAAATTAAAAATCCAATGAATTCTCAACTACAATTTTTTTTTTATTTTAACAAACTTATTAAAAATTAGACATTAAAACACATATATAAAAAAAACTGATATTTTTATAGTTGTCAGAAACCTTTTATTTTTTTTATCATAAATATAATTTTAATAATACACAGCTTAAATAAAAACATTAAAAATAAAAAAAAATTGTGTACAATAATTGATTTATATATTAAAATAAATATAACACTTAATTAAACACTAACTAAAAATAATTTAACATAAACCAGTGATTCTAAAAATGGTAATTATGTGAGCAAAATGCTCATAGTGTCACCAACATAGGGTTAAGATGTTCAGTTTCATTGTAAATTGTAGAACATTTATTTACATGGTATATTTACATTTAATTGTACAAGCACATAGAAATGTACTATATGGCTAGTGAGTAAAACTTAAAAGTATATTTTAATTAAGGAATATACATTTTGTCTACATATAGAGCACTCGCTTATGTCTTCCGCACATTTGTCACAGGTGTATATATGTTTACATGGTAAAAGTACTGCTGCCATTTCTTTTTTATGACAGACTTTACAATTCATTGGGTGTTTTAATGTGTTGCTAGAAGACATTTCAGAATTGGACGTTACCTGTTGAACATTTTCATAATTTTTTTCATTCATACATAAATAAACTCCCATTATCTTAACTAATGGAAATCTGCATATAGGGCAAAATATGAGTGTTAGGGCACACTCAATACAGGATATTGCATGACCACAAGGAACAAAAACTACTTTGATTTCTTCCTTAAAACAAATCTTGCATAGCATACAATCTGGCAAAGAATTATGGTCTAGTATTTCAGAAAAATGATGTTGGTTTTTAACAAATAAATTATCAGTTAATTGTATCCCATTCAAATATCTATAAAAATATAAAAAAAATTAAAAAAAAAACATTTTAGTGTTAAAACGTATGTAAAAATAGTTAACTGATTTAATGTAACATACTTTTTTGTCATCTGTATTTTCATTTTAGTCCAGAGAATGCATTTATTTTTTTGTTTAGCAATTAAATTGAATAATGCCTACAAATAAAGTATAAAGTAAATTTTTAATATTTTTTCTAAAGTAATAAGTAAAGACCGGATTCCCGTGCAATTGCATCTTTCATGGCATGTTCTAAATTCAATAGAAACAAGCTACAAATCCAAACCAAAAGATGTAGATTAATATAAGCAAGTTTTATGTTGCACAAAATTGCACGTTTCAGGTTTTTTTTTTACAAAAATGTACTTTTGTATACATATTTTTGTATTATTTTTATTATATTATGTTGTTTTACAAAGTATTGGACTTTTATATCTAACAATATAATTATATATAAAAATATAATTATATATAACGATATAATACGAATTAAATTCAATTTTAAATTATCAAATAAATGTAGTTGAAACAGTAAGAGATGGGCTAAGACAATTGAAAATGAAAAGGTGCAAAAACTATATGAAAAATTCAAATCAGTATTTGATAAAAATCCCGGATATAAAATTTTAAAACTGTACAACAATTCAATAAATGGAAATTATGTGGATTTAAAAGAAGATCCTGCTATTATAAGCTGCTACAAACAATGCCCAAAACATATTATATTAAGTGACAGAAGACATAATTTTAAAGAAAAAAACTTGGAAATGTACATGATTATAAATTTTAATCAAATATTGTAAAGTCAGTTATTAGTTATTACTTATTAAAATTAATATTTGAAGTATCTATAATGAAAATTATGTTTTTGCACGGTTTTGCACATTTTAACATTTTAATTGCACATTTTTTAGATTTTAGCTGCACAAAAATCCGGTCTTTATCTTATTACTAATAAGACTATTAAATTACCAGATGATTAAAGTTTATGGTGAAATTTTCCACAACATGTACTTTGTCCACAAAATTTTTGCTTTTATTTAAAAACAGATGACCACAATTTTTGGACCATTTGGCATGATTTATCCATGGTTCATCGTCATCAGTCCAATTACTTAAAGTTAAAGCACAAAAGTAACAAGTCGTAAAATCAGTTTGACCATTGCCTAAAAATATATAAAACATTTTTATTTAAGGTCAATTATTATTATAAATATTATTATCATTTCACCAGAATAAAAAAATCCAGCTTCGCATAAAGTATTAATATTTTGTTTGAATGTCCTCAGACAATTATTAAATGTTTCCAAACGTGCATTGAAGGTGATCATTTTGTTTCTATGAAAAGGTTTTAAACTTTGTAAAATACCTTCTGAAGTTAACCAATCATCAACAGATCCCACACTTACAGAAGATAGGGCATCAGAAGTAGAAGAACCGTAAACACAAGTTTCATATAAAATATCTAAAAATAAGAATAAATTATCTAATTATCTCAAACAATATGCAAAAATGAAGTTTAATCATTTTTATCAGAGCTGAAATCTATTTAAACTAAAAAAAAAGTTTTTAATTACAATTTCATAACATTAATCATAAATGAAAAATATTTATATGTTTTTCACTTAAATTTTTATTTAAATATTAATTAACAAAATATTAAAATTTGGTACTGATTCTAATATAAAATTAATATTATAATATTGAAATTTATTGGAATTAATTTCAAATAATCATTTAATTTATACAGTAGTTCTCTTAATATGATGATTTTTCAGTTGTAGTTATGTTATTAAACACAAAATATTTACCTCAAAATCTATTTTAATTCCATACCAATTAATAATAAAAGTGAATTTATTTAATATTTACCACCAAATCCATCCACAACCGAACATTTTGGAGAGTGACGATAATGTTCAATTAATGGAACATCACCACATTCCCATGATTCAAAAAGTTTACAGCATTTAAAACATTTTACACCATCTCCTTGGCCTGTGTAAAAAAATCCAGCATCAGCCATTTCACGAGATTTTAAAAAAATGACAGGCCAGTTTTTAAAGGTTCTTAAGCGACCATCAACTGTAGCCAACTGTAAAAAAAAAAAAAAATAGATTACAAAAATATTAAATTTATTAGATATTTACTTACAATTTTATTAACAAATGAACAATCTGGAGAGAGACGAATATGTTGTTGTAACGGATCGTCAGCAAATTCCCAATCAAGAAATTCTTTACAGCATTTTCCACATTTTACTTGATCACCAATGCCTAAGTAAAAAAAGCCAGCTTGGGCCATATCACATGGTCTTAAAAAGTTTACACGCCACATTTCATTAAAGGAACTTAAACGTCTCTGCATATCCATCTATAAAAAAAAAATAATATAAATACCAATTAATCTACATTTAATAACTGTCCTTCATGACTAAATAAACTAAATAGAGATAAAATACTATATGAAAAAAATGCATAAAAAAATATTAAATATTTATTAAGTTTAACTAAAATTACAAAAAGTATATAAAATGCTGACTAATAACTGTTAAACTAATCTGTAATATATATTGTACTTATAAGATGATAAATAATAATTTTAAATTTTAAACATATAAATAGTATTAAAAATGTATACACTAAAAGATTTACAGTTTGTATTTCTTGAATATATATACTAATTATTAAAGGCTGTATAAGCTTTTGATCATTAGATTGAGAAATACCCTATATCAAAATAAATACAAATTTTATTAAATTTTAAATTAATATTTATATATATATTTTCAAATATAATTGGGAAAGTAATCTCAAAATTAGACATATCTTTGCTATTATTAATATCAATAGGTAACAATTTCAGGTATAAATTCATTTATAACAGCTTTATACATACAAATTTAAAATATTATTAATTACAGAAAAATTAACATTATTTTGTTATCATTATTGAAAGTAAATTAAAACACTTAAGTAAAAATTATTGGTTATTTGAATAAGTATAATACTAAATTCACACAAATTACATGTAAAATTAATTAAATAAACAAAATTAATAATTTTGTTTTCATTTGTATAATTATAAGTACCTTCCAACCATCGCATCAGTTTTTTTTTATGATTAGTTTTAAAATTTGATTTGATTTAGTTGAATATTTATCATATTAGGAACAATAAAGTGAATTAAATGTATTCTTTCATGGACTCATATATTTTAAAATATAATATGATTAAAAATAATTATTTTGATAAAGGTATAAGCATTAATTGAAACAATTTTCAACATGAAAAATTGTTATGGTTTACCTACATACTCAGTCATTAAAACTGTCAAGCAACCAATTGTATGAAATAAAAATAAAGTATTTTTATTTAATATTATACAATCCTTTAACTGAAAGTAACACCGTTTTAGGTTTTTAATAAACATATCACTTAAACTATAACAAGTAGATTTGGTTTAAAGCAATAATTTGCTTTTTTTATCTCTTAAACAAACGAGCCACCCTTTATTTTTATTTCACTTATTAGTAATGTGGCTCTTAATGAGGGGAATTTAATTTATAATTTATGGGGTTAATTAATTTGCAAAATAAAAATAAAGCCTATGAAAAAAAAGAACTCAGTCATCAATATGATACAACAATAACGATCGTAATAACAATAATAACATTATATAAGCCATCTTGACAAAATAAACTTAACAAACTATTAATATTATAAATAAAAATAAAATATTTTTATTTTTTATTTGCTTGTTAAAACAACATACCAATCATACCATAGGTAAATCAACTATATAGTATTAATTATGGTACCTAATAACGTTGGGTTGTGTTACGTTTTGATGCATTCGATTTCCCTATATAACTGAATATTAACGTTAATATTTTAAAATAATAATAATAATAAAATATATAATAATATATGATACCACGGTCTTAAAAGTAAATAATACCGTGATAAATATATATTTAAATTTTAAGTCGTGGTTATATATTTTAATGGTCTATCTCATTATTTACAAAATGTTATACTTTATTCATTAATTAAATTTAACTGATACATCGGCGTCGGCGTAAATATAAGGCAGTCTATATGTTACGGAAAAATAGAGCCGCTAACATATAACCTCAAATGGCGCACCAGCCCAAAAAGTGGACAAGACGATCGGAAAACATAATTAAAATTTATTAAAATATTTAGAAAAATAAAATGTAAACAACTCACCTTCTATACACCGCCAGTTGATTTGTATTTGGGGACGCAAAAATGTCGTTCACGGTTAAACAAAATAGAATTAAAGAATAACTGCGTGATTGAGAGCGGAGAGAGACACAATAACGTGTTATTACAAAAAATATCGAAGAGATATTGTACGACAAATCAGAATAGCTCAGACAGATGGTTATAACGTAGAAATAATTTCATGTTTAATCCCGCAACGTAGCAACGTACCGCAATATACAAAATTTCCGAATTTCCCAGATTTAGACAACACTGATTTTATGATAATATGATATAAAACTGTTATAGATGGTGGAATTTTTTAATTACTGACACACACAACTTAAAATTTTATATTTGAAAATTTTGTCCTACTTTATTTAATAATTGCTTGTGAAAAGTTTTCTGTGCGTTCATTAATTAATCTGATTTTTTTAATTTCAAATATGACTTCTAATAGGTGTATGGTCTTGGATATGCTACTACGCATGATAACAACGACTTAATGGAAATTGTTTAAACTAAAATAGAATTACATATTGATGATAAAGATTAGGAGGACAGCAATGACTAAATTTGTTATGCGGTAGACTAAGAGCATTCAAACATTAAGGAAATCAAAAACCAAATTGTTTGTAGTATCTACGAATAATGCATACAATACAGTAAAGTGAATTCGTTTGAAAAGCATTGACAACTACCCGAATTTAATTTCATATACACCAGAATAAAAACAAAAGTATTGAAACCAAAATAACCACTGACTTTTCATATCACTCATATAAATAATGCCTAAATTACCTACGATAAGATGCTTTTATTGGTGTACAAAGGAGAACTAAATAAACACAATAATCGTTGTCGTTATGCTAAATTGAATGAAAATTTAAAACTACTTAAACAGTATTTTTTCTTCATGATAATCTGATGAAAAATTAATATTGAACGATTTAGAGCAGTAACCTATTGTTGATAAATAAAATACGTCTATAATGATAACAAGGTAAATAATATAAAAAAAGTGATATGAACTTTAAAAATGAACTTTTCTAGACTGAGATCTAAGAAACTGATGACAAATATTTTTGATTTGGTTTCAAGATGATCCAATAAATAATGAGTGTGTTGATATTATTTTTGTCAATGTGTATTCTGTGTAATATCATGTATTATAATGGTTTTTTGATTATAAACAAATATAAAAAAAA